GCTCAAGTATCTGTATCTTACTCCAAACTGACATATTTTGCGCAAAATATGTTAGAAAGTAGATACTTCTCACATACCTCCATCTATTAAACTGAAGATGCTGACTACCAAGCTGTTCAGTGGCCACTTCACTATCAAACAAAACTCTGCCTATCAACATTTAGGGTGATTCTCAGTCTCTTAAAAGCTCTATTAAATCTCAATTACAATAGCAATAAAATCGGATATACCCAGCACCATATTAAAAATCTTGTAAATAAAATAACTTTTATATATTTTCTTGGCCATACTGGCATACTTAAAAATGAAAAAGCCGACTTTGAGGCTAAGCCAGCCGCAAAGGACACTGACTTGGATGGACAACACTAGCATCCCTCTCTCACGTAGCAGCCTTAAAAATTAAGTGGAATCAACAATGTTAAGCATTAAAACATGTAGAATAAAAACACTTTATTTTCCTAGTGTTGAATGCAAGATCTCATCACCACTTAAAGATTTAACATTTGCCATATTATTGTCAAATTTACGATCAACATACAATTATTCTGAAATTAGAAATCTTTAAGCTTGGATTCAGGTGGTCATGTCCATTTGGGAAGCTTGTTCATAAGCCACTCTTTTATGTTTTTTACAATTATGTTCAAAAAACATGGAAGAAAAGACTATTTATAATTTATAATATCTAGCTTTACATTTTAGTTTTCACTGAAAACCTAATACTAATTTTATGTTTACTTTGTATCGTGTATTTTGGTTTATGTATTCTGAGTGTTTTACACCCATAAAAATGGTGCACTTATTCTAAAAAAAACAAGTGGGAAAGAGAGAGAAAGAGACCACCACACAGCCTTTTTCCCACGAAAAAACGTATAGAGCATGAGTCTGCTAGAGTTATTATTTTATCACGTCACATAAGATGGCTTTAGTACAAAGAGCGTTTTTAATAGAAGCGGCAAAATTGAAGCCAAATTCAAAACTCTACCACTCAACGAGATCAAAAATTAAAAATAAGAATATTACGTAAGACGAAATCTATTACCCCCTACCCCTGAGTAAGAATTTTTAAGGAATCCTTAACTCCACCCACCCCAAAATTCCTTACGTAATTTATGGACAGCCCCTTACCTTTGTTAAGTTACTTATGTTCCTGCTACACTCACCAGGAGCAGTTCTATCCGCTGCTGTACTAGTTGATCGTCTTTCATCGTGTCTTGAAGAAAGGGAACGTGACTCTTTTCTACATCTAAATACAATGTCATTCTGAGGAGCGTAACCTATACCTCTACCACGACCTCTTCCACGTTCTCGTCCACAATCCCCTACACAAAAAATATTACTTTTCAATATAAATGTAATAAGATTTTTATGGCATTTTTACCGAAAATACTGAAGCGGTAATGTAACGTATTAATATTTTATCTTGAAAAATGTTAATCACTTATGATTTCAGGCAGAAATATTAAGTAAAGAATAAAACTAAAAATATAAGAACTATATTTTTAACCTAAAATTTTAATTTCTTTCCAGTGCCGAGTCTTCACGATATCAGTATTTTACATAATAACTTATTATTAGAAATTCCCAATAAATCATTGTATAATTACTCAGTTAAAAAAATCTGTAAATTTCAATTCAAGTACATAAAAATTCAAGAACAAACTGTTTACAGTCACGTGTCTAGAATCAAACTATTATAAACAAACGCTATGTACAGCAATTTCCATATAATTCACAATTATTGCAATATAATTACTTACACCTTTTAATATATACTAATTAACACCAATATTCTTATATCTTCCCCCACCTTTCAACCTTAACCATCAAAATTGAATAGCATTCATCTCCCTAACACACAAACCTTAGAAAAATTTCAGAAAATCTCGAGAAAAGTCACAATTTATTGAGCTTCAAATAGAGTGAACAAACTTATACTTCTCACACACGCGCCAGAAACACAGAATTTCATTGCGTTTTTCCATGTTTTAAGCTCATAATTCGAAAATGTAAAAATTTTCAAATGGTACTTTTTTCATAGATTACCACACTTTCCCTCTGTTATATGTAGCAGCCAAGAATATAAATATAACGTAAAACAGCAAACACAAAATACAATATATTTCACAATTCCATATATAAAATATTCAATTGAAAATCTTATCCTACCAATTATAGTCTAGAAGGGTGTTAAAAGTGTAACATAAAACTGAATTTATTACATTTTAACAAATTAACATAGTACAGGATAACACGAAATGAAATACACTGTCAACTTACAATTAACTTATCGTGTTAATAATTAATCTTTCAAGCTTAAAAGTTGCTATAAATCACAACTTCATGAGTATGTCACCATATTTGTGTTTTCGTATGGGATTAAAATAGAAAATTCTACTCTTACAAAGCTTAGTTTCGTTTTTCCGATAAAATAACCTAGTTTATGTTCATTTAATAAACAAATAATCCTTACACATGACAATTGTTTTAACGTTAATCACCTTTTCGGTACTTATGTAAGACAAGCTTTCACTCACCTGAGACATTTTCCTCTCTTTCAATTCGTCTCCTTGCATTTCGTGGTAATAGATCTTGAGGAACTGGCGAAGAAGTTCTTTTCAAAGACGAAAACTTTGACATTTTTACACAAGACAACACTTGAATAAATAGCAAAAATTTCACGCGTAACGCTGCCAAAATCAGAAAGCTCTCCCTGGCGTATATATACAGTACAATACAAGTTCCATTCTATCTTCGAATAATAAAATCAAGCAGGATATAAAATTAAAAAACACGAATCATCATTCAATTGATATACAATTAATCGCAGTGATAAATTTCGATAATTAAACATTGTGAAATTAATAGGAATATGATTAAAATCTTACATTTAGGAACTGGTAAATACAAACATAAATTTAAACAACGTATGCAAATCATTATGTCACGCAGCGTAAGAGAACGAAATGTAACATTATCAAGTGAAGAAGTCTTATTTACTACGCACAGAGTATATATGAGTCAGCCTGAGCTGGAAATGTCTACAGTCGACCCCCCTATAATATCATTGATTTTTCCGTTTTATCTGAATTACATGTTGTACGAGTCACTTAGATTTTACAAATACGTGTGCCGGACTGTGAATGGCTCACTTATTTGTAAAATCTAAGTGACTCGTACAACATGTAATTCAGATAAAACGGAAAAATCAATGATCTTATAGGGGGGTCGACTGTATTTTGCATCTAAATCATGAAAGAATTGACACTTGGATCATAGTAATAATATTTGTAAAAATAAATTAAATCAATACAATTATTTATGATAAAGATAGTATTAAAATGTTTTAACAATGCACAAAATACAACAGCTAAAGGACATCAGATTAATGTATCTACTTTCACATGTTCTCTTTTATCTCACATTGATCCTTACAGCTCATACTGATTAGTGTCTTTGAGACATATTAAAAGAACACGGGAAATTCATATGATTACCGACTAGTCAGCATTATCCGTGGCCACCTCGGTTAAACCTACTGTATTAGAATGTCATCAAAAAGATAAATATTATGACCGTTGTGTCTGTAACTCGATGTTATAAAAATCGACGAGCGAATTCTTGTACTATCATGTGGCATCACGTGAAGTTTTCGGTGTCATTCGCATTAGTTTCGGAAAAAAGTGTATTTTTGGCAGAAGGCCCTGTATCGGAGGACAGTTTACATTCAGAAAATTACAGCGATTATCTACGCCAACACCCTTAACGATTTGCATTATCACACAAATCACTTCCTTAAATCCTACGAGTATGTCGATAAGATCGGATTGTGTTGGACCATGAATTCAATGAGTGCATTGAAACAAGATGCTAGATTGCTGGATAGGTATAAACTTTCAAAATCTACCACAGTTTTTACTTGATCGTTCATTGAAACCAGTGCTGTGCGATGTCTATAATTTTGACTGATGTCAAACATCGATGTTTGCCTAAGCATCGATGCTAAATTTCAATGTCGGATTTCACATCGATGTTTGATCGATGCCCATTGGAACATCGATGTTCAATCAAGATAAACACAAACAATTAAAAAAAACCAGGTTAGTTCGAATAGAAGTTCCTGACGCATACGCAATGTCATTTTACAATGCAAAGAATAACGTGCATGCCTGTTCTAAATCAGTTACAGTTAGGGACTAGAGACTTGCGTAGGAGTAACGTAAGTAACCTAAATTAAAAAAAAAAAAACAGGTACAGATAACTTAGCTCTATTTGATACGTGTACGATCGTACATGCAAAAAAAAGTCGACAGGGTTTTTTTTTTTTACTCTTTTCGCCCTGTGGGCACTAAGAGGGCCTTTTATAGCAGACCCATTAAGGATTCGGCCAGGCCCACAATGGGGCGACCGGGTGGTGAGTGACGGGGCCCGACATATCCGAACGGACCATCCCCGAAATATTCCTGGGGATTCCTTGACCCGTCCGGATTCGATCCCAAGTCCCCCAGAGCGGTAGGCTGCCATCTTGACCGCTCGGCCATACGGCCTCAAAGTCGACAGGTTGCGAGCCACAAGTCGGCGTAAACAGACTAACATGGCAGAGTTGCGGATGAGTTTCAATGAGTGTGAGTTTGTTCACTGTTAATTAATAAAATTGGTTCTGAAAAGGAACTGTCATTATTCAAAGCTTATTTTTTGCTGTATATTGCTTTGCTTTGCTTTAATTTTGTATTGCAAGATTCTATCGTTTTTTCCTCTAAATCTAATCCCGTTTTCTCATACTATCTCGTTATTTTAGGATAGTGTTCGAGCATATCCGAACTTTATGTAAATTGATCATGGCTCGTATTTTGTGACGACGAGTAAAAGGCTCGTAACAAACTCGTGCAATGATCCGTGAAAATCACTCTCTTTAGAAAGACAGAAACGGAAATGACGAAATTCGCCGCATTAAATGGAGTCACTATGCAACAATAAAATTTTCTAGTTGTTGAGAGAGAATCTATTGTTGACTCGTGCGATTGTTTAATGCGAGTGCTTTTTCTAGTTTTGCTTCGTTTGCAGAGATTGTTTAAAGTGATGTAAGTTTACACTATGATCTTTGTAGATTTAAATACTTTTTAACTTTGATCAGCAAAATATCACAGTTGGCGGCCATCGGTTTCCTTCGGAGGATTCGCATCTTTCCATTGTTAAAGCAAAATAAAAATTAATAAATCTGTTATTCCCCGCTATAGTTTATAAATTACATACGTATATATATTAATATAGCATATGAATCTTAATTAATTCAAATAATTCGAGTTCATTCCTTTATTTTCGCAGTTGTTTTGTGTTAAGGCAGTCAACAGAATAATACAATTTTTATAAACTAATTCCTCTATCGAACATTAAAAATCGTCGAAAAGATTAAAATTGTCATATATAATAATATTCTTTTTTAACAGGAATTAATCATTTTTGCATTAGAAATTTACAATTCAGATTAGAATAGGAATATTTCTCAATTAATCCTCTCATTTTCCTTCGCAGAATGGAGAATTTCAGAGAGTTGAAGAAGTTGCGCATCTCGGACAATGCAGAGTCCGAGGATGACGCCTGGTCTTGGCCAGTCGTCATAAGGGTGCTTCCGAAAGATGCGGAGGAGAAGTGTCATACACCGGACGTCAAACGGGTGGTGGTCGTAACTCCGGACGACACCGCCTCGTCTCTCGTCCAATATCTGGAGGGGCGATATCCGGATGTTCCGGAATGGACGGTGGACACACCTTCGGGTGAGACCGGAGTGGAGAGAAAGGAGTCCGAAGTGTCCGTCGAGCGTAGAAGGCCTTGGTGGAAAAGGTTGTTTTGCTGCTGGAAGATATAAACCTCTTCTCTGGCCAGGCCTTCTTGCGCAGATTTCGACTTTCCACCGAATGCAACATCGCCACTCGGAAGTGACCTTACACCCGAATATGACACTCACCGGGAATTGACCTTTCACCCGGCTACGACTTAATCTACTGGACTTGACTTTCCATCCCAATTTACGGACGGATACTTCGACACCATTCGAGATTCGGTTAAAGAGCATATAGAACAACGACAGTGACATCAAGTAGTGTTCTCGTGTTTAATTAAAGGCTATAACTAGCCAAAACAGCTTATATTCTACAGACATTTACACTGTATTTCATCCGGTGTTCTACTGCTAAAAACTTTCACCGCCAAATAACGAATATTCGCCAGACGAATCTAAATAAACTAAAAAAATACATGTACTCGGTTTGTGTACTCCACAATCATAATTACTTCAACAATTAAATTTGTACATAAATGTTTATATTTAATAAAAGTAATTAAATTTTATATGAAATGNACAATCATAATTACTTCAACAATTAAATTTGTACATAAATTTTTATATTTAATAAAACTAATTAAATTTTATATTAAATGTTTACAGATTCGATATTTATTAAAGTTGCGCATTTTTTGATGAATTTATAATTAATAATAATGTTTATAACAGTTGTGACGGATGACGAAAACAGAAAAAATGCACCATATGCCAGTGAATCGTCAGATTTGATTACATTTGGTCCATTAGTTTTTTCTATAGAGATCTCCTGTTAAATTATATCTACTGTGTATATTTTAAAATTTAATTTAAAAAGCTAGTAACATTTTAAAATTACGTATACTGTATTTGCAATCGAATGTTTAGCGCCATATTAATTATTAAAATAAAATTTGAAATCGAAGACAAATTTAAATAATTTTACATGCATATTAATAATTTAAAGAATTAATTTCGTAATAATTTAATAATATAAAAACGATTTTTCTATAAAATTAAAGTCAACTGTAGAAATTATTTTATCACGTGCTTTCATTTGAACACAAACAAATATGGCGGCGCTGATAAGGATCGCTACACGTGACAAAACGCAATTGTATAAACTGTTGAAATTGAAATATATTACCAGATTTCTTGCTACAAATGTTAATAATGAAGTTAAGAAGGAAGAAAATTCGATTAAATCGGATCAACCTGAAGATTTTTTCGGTTTAGAAAGTGATATAAACACGAAAAGTTATGAAAATGTGGCCACCATGCCTGCAACCGAAAAATATCAATATTTATTTCAGAAAGAAAAAAGTCCAGCTGCCGAGAAGACATTAGTTACGTCGTTTGGAGAAGTACGTCTCGATTCTGACAACATTCCCAAATATCATGGACAATATCATGAAGTATTTGACGAAACTTTGTCTTCTATGTTTCCTGAATATTCAGAATTACCATCTAGAAAGAACAGAAGAAGCTCTCGACGTCGTAGACTTGATGAAGAAACATCTGAAGATCCTGAATATATTAATTTAAATTCATCAGAAATAATTGCTAGTTCTAAAGATTTATCCAAACGCCGAGAGAACTTATTCGATAACGAGTGTAAAATGGAAGGCCGTGCCGAACGGTCCGGAAAAAAGGAAGTAGAGCGGAATATACAGAAAGTTTCGACGGTTAATTCAAATATTTCTTTAAGTAATGGTGACTTTTCTTTGACCGAACGTTCGAATATAATGGACGATAATTTAGATAGAAGCGATAGTAAAGTCGACTCTGAAATTACAAAAGATAACTTTATTGATTCTCAATATTTTGGTAATAAAATAGATAATAGTGATGAATCTTTAGAAGAAGAAGATAAAAACTTGAAATATGTTAATGAACAAGAGTTTAATTTTGAAAACAGAAAAAAAAGTAACATTCAAAATAATGAAATGACAGATGATTTAAACTTTATTGATGAACAATATTTTAATGAAAATAGAAGTGATGCAAATAATTTATTGCAAGGAAATTTTAAAAACACTTCTGAAAATACAGAATATATTAAATCAACAAAGAATTTAGGAAATAATACTAAATGTCAACAAGGTAGTGTGCCACAAAATTTGAATGATATCAAAGATGCTGAATTTGAGAGTTTTTCGGATAATCGAAATAAACGTAAGTGTGAACCGGCAAACTTAGAGAATCCGAGAACGGCGTACGATTACGTTATGAAGTTACGGAAAGATGAAAAAGAAAGTAAATATATTAAAAGTGTTTGTTAAAGAAATTGGTTAGTGTGGCCACAAAGTTCCTATGCATGTTTGTTAGAAGTCGTCTGTATGTTTACCTCCTTCTTAGTATAAATTTTAAAGTTTTCTCTGTATACCAAACATCTGCATTGACAATTAAAAGGCATTAAAGCAATCTTGGTACTTGTCTGTTAATGGGACATCAGTCATAATTGTATGCTGATGCGTGATGCTGTTGTCTTATTGATGTAACAGAAAAGTATGAGAGTAATAAAAGTCAAGTAGGTTTAACAAAACAAAATAATTAAAATTTGTGTCTCTTTTTGCTGCAATGTTTGATATCAAGTATACATTTCAATTAAGATTTATATGTATTGAAATGTACTTTGACATAATAAAATAGCCATTTCTTAGCCAGTCGATATACACGGTATTGTATATATCAACTGGCATCCCATTAACAGAAAAGTACCGCAATCTCTAATAGCTGTAAAATGGATTTCAAAAATTTTCTCTCTCGATTCCTCAAAGTACAAAGTTTTACATATTTTATTTTCCATTAAAGTTTATGATGATTATTAAATTTGTTTCCATAAATTTTTAGAAATGTAACAGTAGACACAAGCACTATTTCAGGGTGGTTATTATTTCAAGCTTTAAGAATGAGATATGGTTATTATTTGAATAAAACTAGTATGTCAACTCGATTTACAGAGACCACATTACATTCGATCCGCAGCCAATCCACTGTGTACTTAATATGTTATCAAGATATTCTGTAACTGAGAGATCTTGGACACAGTTTCGTGCATAGTAACTTTGTGGGTGTATTAGAGAATCATTAGATTTTAATTACTTTCCTTAATATATTATTCTAGATAATTATTTAAATATATTAATATAAATTTTCCTCAAACAGAACTTATAAAAATCTATAAAATTTCAAAAAGATACTTTTCATTAATGCTAAAGATTGAAATAAATTACTTCAAAATTGAAAATAATCTAAATTTAACTAATTTTCAGTATTGTTATGGCAATGTAACACTTGGGTGATCTGCCTAGGGGGAATTCCTTCCAGGAGGTCTTTTAAGGGAAACTGGCCCCTATTTAGGCGTTACAGACGTGTAGAAAACCCAGAAAACTCCACGTGGCCAATCCGTCCGAGTGAGGCGCGAACCCACAGCCGAACTCCCAGTCTTCATGGGTACAAGGACCGCTTGGCCACTGGTGGGCCAGTTTGGAATACTTAATTTTAGAATTTATTTAAGAAAAATTTAGTTTAATGTTTGAATTCATAAAAATTATTTAGAAAATCATCATAATATTAAAAGAAGGATGAATTTTATATGAGATATGTATTTAGATATAACTTACGTAATATAATCACACTCCAAAGGTCACATTGGCATTTGTAAAAAGTTGAAATTTACAAGGCAAAAAGGGAAGCCTTGCTGCCTTGTAAATTTTGATTCACTGCTGGAGTTTGGGTGTATTACATAAGTTTATTGTTTCTCCAGTTACAATAGTAGTAGTATTTAATTAGATTTTGATAGTTATTAATTTTATTTACATAGATTAATTTTTGTTTAATTGACTAATTTTTATTTCTTAGAAATTTCTGCAAATGTTTTTCAAGATAAAGATAAATTTCCAGAAGACAAAAAAACGGACAGTAAAGGTTTTCGTATATTGAAAGACCAAGTTAAAGATTTAACAAAGTTTCCTCAAGAAACTATAGTCACAATTTTAAAAGATTCCATTATATATAATGATAGTAAGTCTTATTTTGAATTAATTTCAATTTTCTATTTAAAAAGTAAGTGCAATTAAAATAAATCTGTCTTAGTACAGGGGGGAAAGAGCCCAAAAAAAAATCGGAAAACAAACAACCATAAAATTCCAGTAAAAATTTTTTAATATCTAACATTTATGAATTCATTAAAAGATCTTCAGGCTACACTACATTGAATATCAAAAACATTCACAAAATGTCTATGGAGTAAATATACAATATACAGATTTGAGAACAGCAAGTTACAACAGTCTTGAAACTTGAAACAGAACATTTAAAGTATAAAAAGTTTCGGGAACATAAATACTACACAATAATAACATAACATTATTAAAAAACAGTAAGTAAGAACACATTAATGTATGAATGATGATAAAGATACAAAAATAAAACTTACAATACATATAAGAAATGCATCCTGTTATCTGTAGATGTTCTGTTAACATGTTTGATATTCAGCATAGTGTAGCCTGATGGTCTTTTAATAAGGTCAAAAATGATAGTTATTAAAAAATTTAAGCTGGAATTTTATAATTGTTTACATTTTCTGTTTATACAGTTCTAAAAATATTGTGTTATCTTCAGTTTGAAGATTATGCAATGTATGGCTGTTTTAAAAATCTTTTATTGACCGACAAACTCGAGTTATATGCAAGACGTGGTTTGAACATTATGCTGGTAACTGGTTTGATTGTCCAAAAAACAAAAGTTCTAAAAATTTATGAAATTAAAATATTGTGTAGATTCAAAATATCTCATAAAATATTACATTAAATTTATTTTTATAAATTTGATTGTTTTTCTTTTTTAACATTATTTAAATTATTTTTTCAGATGATATCGTTGCCATTTCGAAGCCTTATGGTTTAAGCTGTCAAGGTACGTTTGTGTTAATTATAATAAAGAAAATTTTGATACAGATTATCATGGATATAACCAGGAATTTCTGAATGTGGGTCATCCACGTCACTGATGGCTTGTGTAGACTTAGCAGGTAGGCTACTGTAAAAATGCAATTGCCCAAGATCACTAGCAACACATTATTGTGCAAAGAGGCCATATCAGTAAATTTGGTAAAAATTAATTTTAAAATAGAGATGTGATTATGTACTTACTTGAATTTTGTACAATCATACTTTATATCACTGTTATGAAGTTAAATGTAGTATTTGCGTGATTATTATGTCTGAAATGAACTGTACTTTGAAGTTTAAAAAATGTTAAAAATAAAATTTTTGATGATAAAGTATCATTACATTTGGTAGAATTTTGATTATTTAATAATTATAAGTAAATAAATAAGTATCATTAAACTAATTTATATTTTTGCAGGTGAACCAGGGAGAAATTCAAATGTGAATGTCAAATCTTGTCTTCCTGAATTAGCACAGAAAATCATGAAAAAGTCTGCAGATCCTACATTATATCTTGTTAATACAATTGGCAGAGATACGACTGGAGTAATTTTATTGGCAAAGTATAGTATAATTAAAATTCTTATATTCGCAGATTATTTTAAATACAGTAACATGTCGGTTTTCCAAAATAATAGGGGTGAGACAATTTCAGATAACCAATCACACTTTGGTAGAGAAAGAATAAAAATAAATATCTCAAATAAAGTACTTGTATTTTATGGCATATAAGATGCAACTTTTGTCAAAAAGAAAATACAGTTGTCCCTTGATAATCCGACAGGTATGGGACCAAAGGTGTGTCAGATTACCAAAAGTGTCCGGATTACCGAAAATAATTACATATTTCGCATTGTTTTGCTAGCAGTAACTTACAATATTCTCTACTCCAACTGTTCGAACAGAACTGCTCACATAAAACACACGAAATGTGTGTCATCGTGTAAAAATTGGATGGGGAGATTCACATCGCGACATGCTTCTGTGCAAGCAGACACGTAATGGGGACGGGCACCTTGACAGGAGGTGCGTCGGACTACTGAGCATGTCGGATTAAAAAACGTCGGACTATAGAGGGACAACTGTACTCAAAAAATTGCCTTGCATCTTATATTTAAAATTGCAATCTCTCATAAGCTAATGAATTTCCTCAAATAGCCTTCAGTAGGTTACAGGTAATCTCTACCTAGTCCAGCTCTTGAATGAAATATATTATTGTTTCATTAAACATTATTATTATTATGGTGTTGCAATTGTCTTGCTCAGCTGATACCAGTGCCAAGTGTTATTCTGGAGTAAAGTCAAGGCATAGCTACTCAAGTGTGACATTAAGTTTGTTATAATACCACAATTGTTATATAACATTGTGATTAGCAATAAAGTTTTGAAATTACTTAAAAAATTCTTCTGATTGATAAGTTAAATATACAGTAGAGTCCCACTAGTCCAAACTAATTGAGAGCTAATCGGATTAGCCAAATAATTGAAATAATGCAGAAACAAGCAGTAAAACAGGTCTGGTTTATATAGATCTAACACCAACAATGACATCAGCACCCCAGCCTGGACAAGGGTGAAACTGAAACAAAATTGGCAGTAGAGTATGGAGTGGGCAAGGCCACAATAACTGACTGGAAAAAAGTAGTGCAAAGGTCAAGCACTTTTCTGCCTCTACTTCAGAAAAATCAGTTGAAAATCGACAAACGGCAAGGCCCTCAATGTTTGACAAGCTTGATGAAGCCTTATTCATGTGGTTCACTCAGGAAAGAGAAAGCGGAACACCCTTAAGTGGACCTCTTGTTAGAGAAAATTTCCTCTTCACCTTCGCTGACCAAAACATGTTTGGATTAGCGGTGTTTGACAAACATATATATATATATATATGTTCATAAATATCTGCTAAACATTTTTGACAATATAATCTTCAATAAAATATTAAATTGTTAAATAGTATTTTACATTAAAATGAAGAACTGCTATTATCGTACTAACTGTTATCTAAGTTTTAGTAAAATATCAATATAATTGTAAACAGCTTTATAAAGCATTTAATTATTTTAAGTAATTTATATTAAAATTTTATTATTATTATTGAAAATTGAATTTAGAATTAATTAATTATTTATTATGATTATTTTATAATTTAATTGTAGAACCAAGCAAATGGCTCAACATCTTACTACCCTTTTAACTGAGAATAAAATTATAAGAGTATATTGGGTTATAACCAGAGGTATTCCAGAATTACCAGAAGGTAAATATTTTCAATCACAATATTTAAAATAGAAGATGCTCTTTGCTTGTTATTTGGTGCACTGGTTTGAGAATTTACCGTATTACTGGTAGTTTTGTTCCTATATATATTAATTGCATTAGTTTAGTTTCATAAATAACTACATTACATCTGAATACCATTATCATCATTTTCCTAAGCCAAAGGAAATTGAATATGAATATATAGCTTATTGTTTATTTGAACAACTGTTACACATTTTGTAAATAATTTCAGTTTATAAATTAAGAAAGAAATAATTTCATTTTTTATCTTATTTTGTCTAGATGAGTATAAATTTTTTAACAATTAATGCAATTAAATTAACCACTCAGCAGTGACCGATGGTTATATCCATCAAGGGTGATCATGCAGCAGTGGTGAAGGACGGATATATCTGCAAAATTCTTTTTTGGCTCGTTTTTGGTGTTATCTGCAAAAGAATTTTGCGAATATCACCAAAAACGAGCCAAAAACTTTCGCGAAAAAAATTTACATAAAAAAGGAATTATGTAACAATTAAAAAAGACTTTTTATTACTAGACATAACTGTTTACAAAATCTTTTTCCGAAATGGTAATGAGAAAAAAACACGTGGAAAAATTACTTTAAAAATTTCCCACATTTATTCTCCATTACATAGGGATAGCACCATACCTGACTAACCCACTGCTGAAAGGTTAACATGTTTAATTTTACTGTATAAATAAATATGTTAAAAGATAATATTTTATATTATTATATAATATACAGACAAACCTCGGGTTACGAATGCCCCTGTTTACAAACAAAATTTTGAACGCCATATTTGCTCTGGTTGCTGTAAGATAAATTAGTTTCCGAACAAGCTACTCATCGAGAACGATGAACTCTCTACTTCCTGTGTTAAAGAATGGCGACAGCCCAACCAACCAACAACAGGACTATCAATTCAGAAGTTAGTGACTCAGTTTAAATTTAAATCAAATTAATTAATAAAAACCACATTAATTGACATCCACATAATACAAATGGCATTCAAGAATTCATGTTTAAATATGCTTAAGTTAAATTAAATGACAAAAATTTATTAATATAATACATATTATAATATTAATATTTAATACTTATTAATACTAGGTAGTCAGTTAATTAAACTGAAACTAATAATTAAGTTTAAAAATAATAATTAAAATCTGGCCTTTACACCAAAACTAAATCAGAAAATAAATTAAAATTAATTAATTAATTTAAAATCAGATCAATTGAAACACATTATTTTGAAAAGCATTGATAAAGTACTTGTTGTCGGTCTTTATAGATTTCGTTGTATTTCATCTTGGCAGTCAGAGTTGAGTTTCTATTTTATAACACTTCTTTGAAAAGTGTTAGTTTCAGTTTAGTTACCAGTGAGAGAACATTTCGTTTTTAATACTGTATATATAGAATAAATATAAGTATAGATATAGATGAAGTAATATATATATAATATAATATTGCCTTTAAAGACATTTTATGCATGAAATACAGCTAATAAGGTAAAACACATGTTTTGTTTTGGGGGTTGGGAATGGATTAATCCATTTTACATTGTTTCTTATGGGAAAATTTGTTTTGGTTTGAGAACAAATCGGTTTCCAAACAACTTTTAGGAATGAATTAAGTTCATAAACTGAGGTTTGACTGTATATTTATATTACCATCAATCAAAAAGTGAAGAAAATTGCATATAATTATATAACAAAAAGTTAAAAATTTTCATTAATTATAAATTTTATTAAATATCTATGAAAATATGATAAAATTTAAAATCGTTTTTTGTTTTCATTATTGTTAATAGAGTTTTATATCTGTTAGGTGTTATTGATATTCCTATTGCTGAAGGTAGCATCAATGGAAGAAAGAGAGTAAGTTTTGTTTCAATGAAAATAATTAAAATCATTAAATATAATTAATTTTTTTAAAAATATGATGAAATAATTATAATCTGATGGCTGAATAATTATAATATGAGGCAGTTAAGACATCAACCTACCATTGTGGGGCCTGGGATTGAATGTGAATTGTAAAACCACAAAAATTTTTCTAGTGGTCTGTCTCAGATATGTCAGGCCTCTTTCCTCATCATACAATCATTTCCATTGTAAACCTGCCTAAACTCAGAATGGGTATGAAAAAAGACTCTTAGTGTATACAGAATGGAAAGAGTTAAAAAATAATCTTATAAATTATGTAAATATTATGCAATGAAACTATTCTTACACATAGATACTTCTCACTTAATAATCTACCCGTTTAACAATTGCTTGGACTTACGACCAGCTCTCCAAATGGGAAATCCCTTTTCTTAGTCTCTCACAGTTGGTCAATATTTACAATCTTCAAGACTATATTTTGTTTATAAAGTTGTACTTGCACATCCCATTTGAAGAATCTGAATAACTGTTTTTTTATGAATAAACTTTTAATTTTTTTGGTACATCAGTTTTATAATTTTTGCTGATTGAATTTTTATGTTCTATAATATGTATGAGATGCAAATTAAATCAGTTATTGAGTTGGAGCTGCCTGAAAACCTTTATCTAGAATAAATAAAAGCAATTTAAGCTTCTCATTTAATGACCATTTTGCTTATAAGAATGGAATTTGTGTAAAGTTAAGAATGGTTGTATTAATATTCTCTCTGCTATTACCTTGTTGAACTATAAAAATATTTTGTTACTTTATTCATTACGAAATAATGAATAAAGTAATAAAATATTCTTGCTAGTTGTGTATTGAGGTATTTCATTCTGATCATACTGTTGAAGTTTTCAGAAAGAGTATTATTTGTTATAAATCAATCATATTTACTATACAGGGTAGTTCAAAAGGTCTTAGACAAACTTTAAAGTAGTGTTTCCAAATTCCTGACATTTTGGAACCTTCGGGAATCAAGAATGGAAAATCATATTTTCTGAGAATTCTCGAGAATTCCCTGAATAATCTTATATATTTAATTTTTGTTGATCATCTTTAATAATGACTATGTTAATAAACAAAAAAAGCCATAGAAAAGATGGGGTAACCAGGTTTTCTCAAAATATAAGCAATGTAATTAATGCAAACTTTATTTAACCGAACTTTATAGTATATAGTGAAGTGTTACATATGTCACGCAATGTATTAACATTTCCAATCTCATTTAAATATTTTATTTATTAAATTAAACATTAATAAAAAAACAAATGCAAATATTATTCATTTGCAAATTAAAAAATACTTCATGTATTTTTTATTTGTCATTTTTAATTGCTAGAAATTGAGTTGGATCATTGATGTTGGAGTAGGATACATTGTTACAGTAATACTGAGATGGCAGAATTGCAATTAGCAGCAAATGGAAACAGGTGAGCAGTGGTGCAACTGCATTGATGAGGTGCAATAGACATGCACTTCATCATCAAGCATTTGTGTGTTTACATTATATATTGTGAAGGAATCATTCAAAGTAAACAGCCATTGTGGTTGGGCTAAATAATGCACACGCATGCAATGGATGATGCAGTTGTACACAGAATTGAATGCAATCAATGTTCAAGTATGTGAACTATTTTATAGCACATTGGTATACCTCAATCCAGCATGTGGCAAGTATTACATGAAGAGTGGTTACACCTCTTTCATGTGCAATGGGTCCAGTCATTGGAATCAGGAGATTATCACTAGTATGTGGAATTTGCATGTTGGTTTTTGCAACAATGTGCCAAACAGCCGGAATTTTCAGCTTGGATTCTCTTCACTGATGAAGCTACCTTCTAACATGAGGGTGTTTTAATGCACTTAATATAACATTTAACACCTAATAAATATTATTAGCATTATAAGTGTTAAATGTTGTATTAAGTGTTTTAAAAGGAAGCTGAGTTTGATATTCAATTAATTGGTGTTTTAATGTTCATAATTTGCATGTATGGGTGCATGACAATTCCCAAGCTACATGCCCTCATGCCATACAACAATGGTTCACTATAAATGTTTGGGCAGGCATTGTTGGAGACTTTATCTAGGGGATATCATCTTCCAACACACTTAGATGGGTGTAGTTACAGGATATTCCTGGAGGAGGTCTTGCCAGAACTGCTTCATGATATTCCTGTATGTGTGCTGATACACGTGGTTTCAGCATGATGGTGCTCTCACATTTCAGTCTGGATGTGTGGGAATATTTCCACAGCATCTTTCTTGTGCAATGTATTGATTTAGGTGGACCCATCACTTGGCCATTACAATCACCTGACTTGTTATTTATTGATTTTTCATCTGGGGTTACCTTAGAGGCCTTGTCTATGGTATCTCTAGTGTGAGATAGTCCGTGGGTCACCTTGCAAGAGTGGAATGTTTTTGTGGCACCAGATTGGAGGGATCCGTTCTCAAGCATCACTGGATGGCTGTAAGTTAGAATTTGTCACAGGATTGAGAGGTCCCTGATATTGTCAGGTTCCTGACACCAGTTAGGATTTACCAAAATCACTTATGAAATCTTAATATTGCATCCTAACTCTCAATATTAAGATTTATTTGTTCAAAAAGAGGGCTCAATTTCTCTCGAGTGGAGAGATTGCGGATCAGTCGATAAGCGTCCATTTTAAGTAAGTTGAACTAGAGTCAAGTTAACAATTAACTAACTAATTTAATAAGTAAATGAAATATAAAAGGTTATGTAAAGAATTAACATACACTATTCCAATACCAAACTATATACACCGCGAGAGAGAGTTTACATTGATCTATAAAATACCTCTTAAATAATCTTCAGATCCTAGTTATCTGAACATTGGGGTAACATTTATGGATTTTCTTGGAGGAGCTTTCATTGTGGCAGGCTCTCTATGCCCCTCAGGAGTGCTTATCTCGAGAATGTCCATATACTTGAGAGAGGAGTCTGCTTGGTTATCCGCTGTGTTGTAAGGAGAGATCCGCCAGTTCCTGTGGTGTCTCATGTATCGAGGGATCTGCACAAATATGGCGGTTTTGAACCCTTTTATTTGAAAATTCTCTCCAATCATGAGTCTGTATTTCAACCATATGATAGAATATCTAGAGAAGTCATGCAGACTAGTGGTCTTGTCATCGGTGATGATAACATCTCACTCAGGAAATGGATGGCAGAAAAGGAAGTTCTATTTCCTTGTTCACATTGAATTTTATCATCAAAAAGTGGAAAAGTGTCACTTTTAACATCAAAATAATACTTTGAATTTTTCAACTTATAAAAATAAATCTACCCTGTTTTCAGATTCTCACACTAGTCTATGCAGCTGCCAAGAGGACCTTGTCATACGAGTCCTGTGTCTGTGAGAGAGTTGGCATTTTTGAACATGTTTGCTGATTCATGTGCCAATGTGCGCGGTACATATTGCTTCACAGCATCGGCACATGGATCGGCATATCTCTTTTTTAAACTTGTGAACATACTTTATGGCTAATAAACATGTAAAAGTTTAATATGTAATGATATATATTATTACAAGTATTTATAATAATACTAATAATGTTTATGTATTATATTTAATGTAAATTAATATTGTCAAAATCAGATGGTGTTGAAACCTGAACCTGTAGGCGAATTAAAGGATATTGTAAAACCTTCTAAATATGCTGAACGTGCAATCACTCATTACAATATAATAGCTACTGTAGAGAATGCAGCTTTGATGGAAGTTAAACCTGAAACATGTAAGAATTCTTTTGAATACATTTTGGAAAAATTATTTAAATTAATTATAGTGTTGGCCAGTTGGCCGAGACAGCTAAGGCATCATCTGACTACTCTGAGGGACTGTGAATGAATCTGGGTAAGTTGAAAAATCCCACAAATTCTGTCTCAGACATGTCAGGCCCCATCCCTCACCATCCTGTTGGCCATTTAGTCAAACCCACAATGGGCTTGAATAAAAGGTCATTTTAATATACATAAGGTGGGAAGGATTTAAAAATATTTATTATTGGAGTATGAATTGCTTCTTGTTTGGGTAATTATGCTAAATTTTCTATTGATTATTAATGTGCCTCTAAACCAAACTTATTATAACGACCACAAATGACTTTAAGGTGACTGTTTTATCGTTTCATTTTAATTGACTCAACATGCATTCATCCCTCTTCAGTTGGGTACAATTATATATCTACATAGACAAATTAACAAAAAAATAAGCATCATCTTAATACAGTCAAAAACCAATATGATCTATGACTAGTTTTTACAGTCGACCCCCCTATAAGATCATTGATTTTTCCGTTTTATCTGAATTACATGTTGTACGAGTCACTTAGATTTTACAAATACGTGTGCTGGACTGTGAATGGCTCACATATTTGTAAAATCTAAGTGACTCGTACAACATGTAATTCAGATAAAACGGAAAAATCAATGATCTTATAGGGGGGTCGACTGTA